GTGGAGGGCAGTTTTATATTGGTTGAAGTATTTGTGAGACTTAGTCTTATGCCACAGTAATAGCACTTTTGATGAGCTGTGTTCACACTTTTTCACACTATGATATACTGATTTGTATTTATTGTATGAATTCCCATGTTTGGTTCTGGATATAATTTTGTAAGGAGAAGTATATGGTGCTACACTAATAATTTTATGTTTTTGGAAATTTGGCATCACAAATTGTGTGTCAGTAGCTTTATCTTAATCCTACTTTAGCCTAAACACTGCATTAATATATACAGTTAGGTCCGTATATATTTGGACACAGTCAGAATGTTCATGCTTTTGGCTCTGCCACCAGAATAAATTAAAACAAAACAATCCAAATGGATTTGAAGTGCAGACTTTCAGCTTTAATTCAAGGGGTTGAACATAAATATCACATTTTACAAATTTTAGGAACTGCAACCATTTTTATACACAGTCCCTCCATTTTCAGGGGCTCAAATGTAATTGGACAAATGAATATAATCATAAATAAAATGTTCATTTTTAATATTTTGTTGAGAATCCTTTACTGGCAATGACTGCCTGAAGTCTGGAACCCATGGACATTACCAAAGACTGGGTTTCCTCCTTTCTGATGCTTTGCCAGGCTTTAACTGCAGCTGTCTTCCGTTGTTCTTTGCTTGTATGTCCTTCTGTCTTTAGGCTTGCCTTCAGCAAGTGAAATGCATGCTCAATCGGGTTGAGTTCAGGCGATTGACTCGGCCATTGCAGAATATTCCACTTCTTTTCTTTCAAAAGCTCCTGGGTTGCTTTTGCAGTGTGTTTTAGATCATTGTCCATCTGTACTGTGAAGCGCTGTCCAATCAACTTTTGCTGCATTTGGCTGAAGCTGGGCTGACAGTATATCTGTAAACACTGCAGAATTCATCCGGCTGCTTCTGTCTTCTGTCACATCACCAATAAACACCAATGACCTAGTGCCACTGGAAGCCATGCATGCCCTTGCCGTCACACTGCCTCCACCAAGTTTTACAGATGATGTTGTGTGCTTTGGATCATGAGCTGTTCTAAGCCTTCTCCACACTTTTCTTCCTGTCATTCTGGTACAGATTAATCTTAGTTCCATCCGTCCAAAGAATGCTTTTCCAGAACTGGGCTGGCTTTGTTAGATGCTTTTTGGCAAAGTCTAATCTGGCTTTTCTATTCTTCAGGCTTATGAATGGTTTGCACCTTGTGGTGAACCCTCTGTATTTGCTCTCGTGAAGTCTTATCTTGACTGTAGACTTTGACAATGATACGTCCACCTCCTGGAGAGCGTCCTTCACTTGTCTGCATGTTGTGAATGGGGTTAGCTACTCTCAAAGAGCTGTAATTCCTAAACCCTTCCTCCAATTTGGATGTACATACCCTCAAATTAAAACTGAGAGTGTGCACTTTCAGCCCATATCCATTATATAACTATAGCTTGAATATGTTTTGGTAAATACCTGAAAAAAGCTACAAAATTGTGCCTGTGTCCAAATATATATGGACCTAACTGTATATTTTTTTTTATCAAATTACATATTGTGTTGGAAAATGTACAATTATTGAAACAAGCCACAGGAAAGAAAGGCGGTTCACTTTATAAATGAAATAAGCTACAGTTAGGCAAAAGAGATCTAGTTGAGGACTTGGGATCACTAGTTAAGAGGAAGCGCTCTAAGTAGCAGCTACAAAGAAAACAAAACGGAAGGTAGAGAATGGGAAATATCTACATTTAATATTACTATAGCATTGTCTCTAAAACACTCATAAGACCGCAGCTAGAGTATGGTGTCGAGTTTCGGAACCACACTGAGAAATGACAAATACCTTTTGGAAAGTAATCTAGAGGATCATCTGCGCAATCCTGTCAGTGTATAAGATTACCATATCAATATGACAAAAACAAATTGCTGCTAACAGTGTAATGTGTATTCCCACACCCTCAGTGATATAAAAAAAATGATGTGTTGCACCAATTACTGTAAATAAAATCCAAATAACCTTCATACTAATGTGGCACCCTGCTGGTTAGTTTGGGGGAGCTAGCTGATTATTTTATTAGTCAGAAAGGCTAAGTAGCAGCCTGGACAATAGTCAGTTGGGTCAAATTTGGGTGAGGGCTGAGAGGTTCTCAGATCAGTTCCTTGATACCTCCCCTTGCTCTGGAATCTTGGAGAAGATTTTAGAAGCAGTGGTCAGGGTGAGGAGGCTGGTCTGCGTACTCAGGGGACTCTGGCCAATCCCCAGGCAAGAGGCTTGGCATGGGACCAGAGTAGTCCGTAAATATGACTGAGCCTGCTCAGCAGCAGGAACGTTCAGGTGTAATGTGTGAGGAAGCTGAGACACGGAAGCCTGGGAGGGAGCCCAGTGGGAAGGGGCCTACCTACAGGCAAGAAGCTAGAAAGGAGGATTGCTCAGCCTTACTGGCCCTCAGAGCGAGGACCACCTGTAAAAGACAGGAAAGGTGCCAGCTCAGCGTAAGGCCTGAAGGCGGCCACCCACCTAAATCAGCTCACAAGACTGAGACTGAGTGATTAGTCCTAAATCCCCTGGACCAGTTAAGGGAAAAAGAGCACTCTGGTGGGAAACCTGATTAGCTCCTTGCCCAGGACTGTTTCATTTAAAGTGGCAGGCACTGGATTCCCTTTCCCAGGGATTCCCTCAGGCAGCTGGATAAGAAGAGGATTATATGGGATCTGGGTAGGTACACCAGGAGAGGCTGGGGAGCTCTCCAAGAAGTTTCTGCTGTGTAAAGACTAGTTGATAAGGAGTTTGTTCTTGGTTTGCAGTTCCATTGGGCATCCCACACACCCATTACCCCATCCAAGTTCAACACCCCTTAATAAAACATAAAACCAAGCTCAAGGACGGTTTATTGACTTTGAATGCAAGTCTGAGAAAATGCATGCTGCCTGGCTGTGTAGGACTATAGGGGGACCTGATTCTTCAGCAACTCTTCCGGGGGTAGTGCTATACTAACATAATATTCACTCTAAATAATTAATGTTTATGCACATCTACGCATGAGCTGTCACATGTGTTAGGGAATTAGAGTGAATATTATGTTAGTAAGAAGGTTTAACAGATTTTATTTACAGTAATTTAAAATGGTAACAATTTATAGGTTTCTGCACATCAACGCATGAGTTGTCATATGCGTTGTTAGTGATTTAGAGCGAATATTGACTTGCACAACATTTTTCATTTTTTTTATATCACTGAAGTTTTGGAAAGGATTCAAATGTAGACAACTAAACTAATAATAGGAATGGAGAATATCACTTACAATCAAGGATTAGAAAATTCGGTAAATCAGATTGAGAAAAAAAAAGACAAAAAAGTAGAGACTTAATTAACATGTTCACATATATTCTGGGCCAATGTAAAAGGTTTAGCAGATATTCTTTTGGGGACTACTGTATACAGAAAATACACATTTGCAGCTCCTGATATGACTACATTACAGTGTAATCTCCTCTGGTGTAGAGGCCAGGGTGAGGGTGTCACTAAACATTTCTGCAGAATATATCAGAGCTATAATAATATTGTATGTGAGTGATTCAGTATGCACTGTATGGCACTACAGAACATGCCAGAGCGACATAAATGCATAATACTAATAAGACTGTAGGGTTGATTTTCTAAAACTGGAGTGTGCAAAATCTGGTGCAGTTGTGCATGGTAGCCAATCAGCTTTCAGGTTTTTGTCAAAGCTTAATTGAACAAGCTGAAGTTAGAAGCTGATTGGCTACCATGTACTTTCCGGTTTTAGTAAATGAACCCTGTGTATGGCTGAGCCACTGGTAACTTATGCGAGTGGTTCAGTGTTTTGTGTACAGCGCTTTTAAATATGTCAAAGTTATATAAATGCTTAATAACAACGCATGGCTGCGATGGGGACATTACAGTGAAAGACCATAGCAATTTGAAATATGGGTACCAGTGACATGCATTTTGTTCCTATTGGCTGGGTGGCATCATAGTGCACACTGTTCACTTCACTCATTATTTCACTTATCGCTCAGAATGCCAGTTACAGTACCAAGGAATGCTCCATCTCTCTCTATTTCACCAGATGAAGTAAGTTGGTTGAATGGGCACTGACGAGGGACATGGCTGGGATGTGAACTCTGTTGGAGGGACCATGTACTAGTGGTGAGCAGTTATCTCTCTATACTCCTTTAGTAAATCAGCCTCAGTATTTCAATTGTAAAAGATTCACTAAAGGAGTTAAGAATCTTCACACAATATATTTTGTAAATATTCAGAAGTACCTAATCATGTGAAAAGCAAATTCCTGTTTTTTATATAATTTATACAGGTACTGGACAAACTTAAGTAAATCATCAGACAATGAATTTTGAATGGGCTGGTTCACACAGAAATCGCACACAGGAATAAGCTGTGCATGTCTGTGTGATTCACATGCAGATCAGTGGTGCAGTATGAGCCCTGTTATTGTAAATGGGCTCAAATCACACTGCAACGCACCAAAAGTAGTGCATGTACTACTTTTGGAAATACACTGCAACAGGATCACATGGTACTTCTGTACCATGCTACCTGGTGCAAGAAAACACACTGCAATTCTTAAATTGTTTTTGTTATCTTGATTCCTGCACACTTTTGTATTTTGGACATAAAGTTTGCTTTTATATTTGCTGCGTTCAATGTATTATATGTAGTTTTTACTTTCACTCCTGTACTTAGCTCATAAGAGACTCTTATTCCAACATCCTAATATCATGTTTTATAAAAAAAGGGGTTATCTGGAGGAAAGTATATATTTTTTGTGACAAATATACACAGCTAAAGACCCTACGAAGTCAAAAGGTAGGCCACGTTAGCTTGGATTGCATTGTTGATCCTCATAAAGTGGCTGTATGTGGATGCTTGGCTGCAAATATTCCCTGCATTGCTTCTGGCAATGTATTTAGTGTCATTTATAGTTCTAGTAAAATTTATCAATCATTTACACTCACCGAAGAAGCGGCCTTAATGGCTTTTACAGCTTCATCAAAAACACGTTTTGGCAGACGAAGATTGGTTGTACCACTGTCCACAATGCTTTTATCATAGTTGTACTGGGAACCAAGAAAAGAAATAAAAGAGAATGTTACAATATTAAAACAATATACAGAAAGGTTTCCACTTTGAACTTTAATGTGAATATCTCTTTCATGGGTGACACAAGGAACTGCAGAACTTTAGCAATTTCAATGGATTTCCAAGGCTAAGGCAAAGTTCACAACTATGAAGTGTGTTTTAGTTGTGTTGCATGTTACATGTGTTTTAGGTACGTTACCTTTGAACTCTATTGTATATAACATGCATTTTGATGAAAGCGCGTGAAAGATGCAGAAAGCAGGACTTTATTTTTTAAGCACACTGCACCTAAAACGCATAGATGTGAACAGATTGTTGTGTTGTGCTGAAAAATCTACAATAATTTAGCAAATGTTTCTAATGTCTGTTTTATATAAAAGGGTTAAAGTGGAAGTCAAATCCTAACTAAGCTTACATCTATTCCTACCCTCCTTCTAAACCTATTCTATCTACCCTGAAAAAGGAAAGATGTCTGTACTTACCTATTCTAAGGTAGCTCTGGTCTGGTCACATGATCGGGTCCCAGTGGCAACTTGTAGGGGAGGGACATGTGACAATGGATGCCCCATAGTAAGCCTATGGGTGATGTCATTGTCCAGGCTCAGCGATCTCTCCTCTACACTGAATCCGATGCTGAAGAGATCATGTGACTGGACTGCAGTGTCTTCAGAATAAGTCAGTATAGGTATCTTTCCTTTTACGGGGAAGATAGAATAGGTTTAGAATGGGGGTAGGAGTAGAATTAAGCTTAGTTAGGTTTTAACTTGCCTTCCACTCTAAGGAAGAACTAAACTCTGGAAGCTGTGCCTAAAAATGCAGGCAAAGGCCTTGTCACCGGTATTGCCTGTGGTCTCCTGCAGCTGATATTTTCCCATTACCGACTTACCCTGCTTTGTTCTGCACTGTTTCTCTGTGTGCAGGGGGTAGAGGTAGAGGCAGGGCTTTGCTTCCTCATCTCAGAGACTCCAGCAAGGAAAATAGTGAGCAGCACAGTAGTGATGTCACCAAATCTCGCTACAAATCTTCTGAGACTAGCAATCAGAGGCAGCATTGCCTTAGATCTCTAACTGAAGATAGGCGACTAAGAGGCTGAAGGCACAGGAGTGGCTGTTATTTTTCAGGAGGCATTTCAGACAACAGGTATCTTTTTTAGGGTACTGTTGAGGTACAATTAACATTTCCTAGATGTTTCCTTTTTACTTTTTGAATTCAAGTCTACTTTAAAGAGAAATTCCGGGTATGGATATTTTATTCACAGTGCGACATGAAGGATCATTAGCTCAGTGGTAAATTAGTTTTCAAGTAAGTTCACGTCAGTCAGGAAATATATTTAGGGCCTGGTAGCATGTGTTTATTAAAAAAAGGCAGAAAAACAAAAATCCAACATAAGCCTTACCACACAGGGGTTCTTCTCCAGTGGTACTTTGGCTGTCTCTGGTTAGCAATACCTCTGCTTGTTTAGTCTACCAGACCACTGGCTATTCCATGCACACAGCCTTGGGCTTCTTTAACAAACACAGCCTTGAGCTCCTTAATGCACACAGCCTTGAGCTTCCTGGATGCACACAGCCTTGAGCTCCTTAATGCACACAGCCTGAGCTTTTTAATGCCCACAGCCTTGAGCTCCTTAATGCACACAGTGTCTATCTCAATGGCAGCCACTGCTCCAACTCTCCTCCACTCCACCTTTAACTCTCAACAGACCATCATTATAAGGACTGTGCGCACCTGAGTACACACCCAAGGAAATCGAAGACAAAAACTGAAGATGAATGACAGATTTCAAAAGATAGCAGGACAAACCCAAAACAATTCTTCAAATATATAATAGTAAAAAGGTCCGGTCCGAGCAAGTAGGCCCTTTACAAAAATAATCTGGAGTAGGAGACTGGAGACAAAGAGAAAGCAAATTTAATAAATACCTTCTTCAACTCTGTGTATACAAAGGAGCATAGGCAGCTCTTGTCCACAATGGGCATGGTATTGATACAGCCCCAGATCATCCACATTGGCTCACAAATGATATGATCCAGAAATATTAAGACAGAATAAAGGTGAATAAAGCACCTGGACTGGATGGCATACACCCATGGGTCCTTCAAGAATTGAGCTCTGTTATTTCAAAGCCATTGTTTCTAATTTTTAGGGACTCTTTAATGACTGGCATACTACCACTGGATTGGCGTAAGGCCAATGTGGTGCCAATATTTAAAAAGGGATCAAAATCTTTACCAAGTAATTACAGACCTGTTAGTTTAACGTCTATAGTTGGGAAGATACTGGAGAGTTTAATAAAAGACCACATAGATTAGTTCTTGCTGGAAAAAAATATATAAGTAACAGACAGCATGGATTCATGAAAGATAGAAAAAATTTCTTTTTATGATGAGGTGGCTGTGGACGTGGTATACTTGGATTTTGCAAATCAGTATGTAAATGGATAGAAAATGGGCTAAAACACAGTGTTTAGAGAGTAGTGGTTAATGATTCATGCTCTGAATGGTCTAGGGTTGGCAGTGGTTAACCCAAGGTTCAGTGTTGGGACCCTTACATTTTAATATATTTATAAACGACATAGGGTTTGGGAATAAAAATCCCATTTCAGTCTTTGCACCAAGCTGTGCAGTGGAATAATGTCCTTACAGGATGTCTCCAACTTACAAAGCCGACCTCAATGCACTGTTTAATTGGGCAACTATGAGGCAAATGAGGTTTAATGTTGATAAATGTAAGGTTATGCACTTGGGGGCTAAGAATATGCATGCATCATACATACTAGGGGGAGTACAACTGGGGGAATCAATGGTGGAGAAGGATCTGGGGGTTCTGGTAGAACACAAGCTTAATAATGGCATGCAATGCCAAGCTGCAGTTTCTAAAGCGAGTAAAATCCTCTCTTGAATTAAAAGAGGTATAGACTCCAGAGAGAGAGAGATCATATTACCCCGGTACAAATCATTAGTAAGACCTCATCTGGAATATGCAGTTCAGTTTTGGGCACCAATTCACAAAAAGAACATTGGGGAACTGGAGAAAGTACAGAGAAGGGCAACCAAACTGATAATAGGCATGGAGGAGCTCAGCTATGAGGGAAGATTAAAGGAATTTAATGTATTCTCTCTTGAAAGGAGGAGATTAAGGGGGGATATGATCAACATGTATAGATACATCAGTAGTTCATATAGTGAACTCGGTGTAGAGCTATTCACCCTGAGGTCATCACAGAGAACAAGGGGGCACTCTTTATGTCTGGAGGAAAAGAGATTTAGTCTCCAAATACAGAAAGGTTTCTTCACAGTGAGAGCTGTGAAAATGTGGAATAGACTCCTTCAAGAGTTGGTTCTGTTCAGCTCAGTAGATTGCTTTAAAAAAGGCCTGCATTGTTTCCTGGATACACAGAATATAAAAAGAATATATAGAAAAAGCTGATCCAGGGAATATCGGATTGCCTCTTGGGGGATCAGGAAGACATTTTTTCCCCCGTAGGAGCAAATTGGATCAAGCTTTGCTGGTTTTTTTGTCTTCCCCTGGACCAACTATGGGTATAGGATTATAACTTTGTTATTTATTTTTTTTTATGGTTGCACTGGATGGATTTTTGTCTTTTCTCAGCCAGATGAACTATGTCATACCCTGCTGATTGCTTACAAAACCCGGCCACTGGGTTGGAGATTTCTTCCCTCCCAAGGCGCTTTTAACTCTCCAAACTATGGAGCCCTATCCGGAAATACTACAATCCAGAGAAAGCTGCAAAAGCAGTTTTCTCCACTCACATTTTATGTTCCATAATCCTGCACTCAGCACATGTACAAACTCTGGGCCCTTTTCCTTACCATTTCCACCTATGTTCACCCAGTGACAGGGCCTCGCACTGTTACAATAGTTACATTGATCCAGTTTGGACCAATGTAACTATGTACATACCCTACCTGACTGATAGAAATCACTAAAGTAGACACCACTTCTCCAGTGATCTCAAGTTGCTTCTGGGTCTTGCACCGAGCAGCTGCCTTTCTGGACACAGGAGGTCGGTCACTCAGTACGGATGCCATTCAGAGAATGCTTTGAATTTTTTAAATGAATGCAAAGCTTTCTCTGATTGGATGAGGTGGAGAGGTGAGGCAGTGACATTGGTCCACCATAGTAGTAGTGTCTACTACAGTGATTTGTATCTTCCTGGAATAACACATATATATTTACATTGGTCCAAGCTGGATCAATGTAACTATGTGAAAATATGCATACCTAAACTTCAGCTCTAATAGCAATATTAGCTAATTTACAGCTACAAAAATGCACATTTTCAAATTAATTTGCTGCTGAAAATGCTAATCTACTTCTTATGAGCATTTCAAGGACACTCACCTCTTTACAATCCATCATCAAATCCTGTCCATTAATTTCAATTTTTACAATGATGACCTCATAGTACCACTCTTTTCTGATTGGTGTATACCAGATATTGCCCACATATAAGGATGGATCAATTCCTCCAATCACCTAAAGAATGCAGTATAAAGATTAATGATTAGTATAAAGTTTGGCTTTACTGTCTGTTCACAACAAAAGAAAAGTGCTAGCCTTTTCATTTAATTTTAATTAAAATATTTTTTTTTATCAGCAATGTCTACATTTTCATTCTATTTTAAACATTTTTATTCATACTAAAGAATAACATGTCATACAGGTTTTCATGCAGGAAGCAAAAATTCTTGGATGGAACTGTGGAGACAGTTTAAAATTCCAGCTTAATATACAAGTAAAAAAAACCCACAAATACAAAACTGTTGCTAATGTATAATCAATGATACAGATACAGAATATTTTATTAATCCCTAAGGGAAATTACTAAAGGTACAAGTATATATAACAAGACAACACAAAAATCACAATAACAATAAAATTACCAATAACAACAATTAATACCACATCTGGAGGTAGTGTGGTGGCAGGGCAGACAGCGGTGACTGACAGTTACCGTTCTCTGCTCACAGCGGCGGTGACCTCCTGACCACTGCACTTCTGAAAACTGACCTTTATATACTCTTGACCACTGCTCTTCTGAAAAGTGTACTTTACACAGAGGCATCCCTAGGGTTGGTGTGACCCGGTGCCGGAACACTTGGTGACACCCCCCTCCGACAATCCCTGCAGGATGGATCGGATCTGCGGATTGAGCATAATGGATCAGAGTCCGATCCATTATCCTCCCCAATCCACAGATCCAATCCATCCTGCGGGGATCTTCAGCTTGCAACCTATATGGGGTTAACTGATCTCTGCATGAGCTCCATAAAAAGGTAAGTTTTAAAGCAAGCCAACCGTCAACTTGCATTAAAAAACTTACCTTTTTGTGGAGGTCATGCAGAGATCAGTTAACCCCGTATAGGTTGCAAGCCGACGATCTCCACAGGATGGATTGGATCTGCGGATTGGGGAGGATAATGGATCAGACTCCGATCCATTATGCTCAATCCGCAGATCCGATCCATCCTGCAGGGATTGTCAGCTTGCATTAAAACTTACCTTTCCTTAGAGCGGGTCCGGTGTCACCCCGTGCAAAAGGTGTCACCAGGTGCGGCGCGCACCCCCCCGCACCTGCCTAGGGACGCCCCTGACTTTACATACTCCTGACCACTTCACATACTCCTGACCACTGCACTTTTGAAAACTGTGCTTTCCATACTTCTGACAACTGCACTTTTGCAAGCTGTGCTTCACATACTCCTGACTTATAAGTTGTGCTGTACATTACATTTCCCAGTCCTATGCTGCTACATTACTAGATTCCAAGCACAGCCTCTATTTCAACACCAGCACTGACAGCTCCTCCTAGAGTGTTCCATAGTAATGTGAGATCAGTCAATGTTGGGTTACAAGTAGCAGCCACTGCTAATTATTATTATTATTATACAGTATTTATAAAGCGCCAATAGTTCGCTCAGCACTGTACATTACAAAGGGGGACAGAACATGTGACAGAACAATACCAATACAATGCAAAACATGAGGGGATTGAGGGCCCTGCTCTTTCGAGTTTACAATCTAGGAGGGAAAATAGAAACCAGCCACTGCTATTTGTATTCCAAACTGCTTCCTCTTCAGGGAGGGTTCCAGTTATCCTGAGGCTGCTGCCCCTAGAAGAGAGCTACTGAGACAGGGAACTGTAATTTGGGCCTCAGCAGGAGCTGGGCTGAAGGCGTGGAGGAGATTGCTAATGGACTTTTGCTGTAGGGTGCTGTCTTGAAGTCCTGATCTGGAGAAGAATCTTTTATCTCCCTCACTGAGAATCTACCTGTGGATGCTGGGTGGCAGACAGCTAGAGGGTGCTGTCTTGAAGTCCTGGTCTGGAGGAGGATCTTTTATCTCCCTCACTGAGAATCTACCTATGGATGCTGGGTAGCAGACAGCTCCTGGGTTTTTAGGATTTGAGACTCTAGTGTATTTTGCTCTTGTATGGATTTTGTACTAAGATGTGTGTTCTTCCATTGATTGCTACTTTCGTTTTGGAGTATCCTGTGACCCTAACCCCCCTCTCCTGTTCACGTTCTTTAGCAATAAATAGTAAAAAGACATCCCCTAGACTGAGCCTGTATTGTCAGTGTGCATAGAACTGTGCTTGTGAATGGCAGTCTCTGTACTAGTAAGGGAGACCTGGGTATATTCTCCACAGCCCCTTTGGAGGTAAGCACCATTGTGTTAAGACCAGAAGTTCAGGGAAGCAGCATGGAGAGAGCCGGAGCCATCAGCATTGAATGTTGTAAACTGCAAGTGCTGGGTAAGAATTTAAAGAAATAGTTTATTGAGGAAAGGTTATTTTTTTTGTGCTCAATGTGTAAAGCCATCAAAACACTGAGGGTTTAATACAACTTTAGGACATGGGGACCTATTGAAGAGGAGGTGAGAGCCTCCTGGCAGCTTATATTTGCCTGCTGTAGAGGGTTGTGATAGTACAGAGGGAATGTGTAGCAGACTGCTGAGTGTTCATGTGTTTTATTCAGAGAAGAAGGGCTTTGTTTTCTATGCAGAGTAGTGTGTGCAAAGTGTGAGGTGCATTTCTGGGAACTAGACCAACCTTGCCCAACAATGATGAATTTTATATAAGTGCATTTGTTATTATTCATTTTATAGCACAATTGTTTGAGCGCACACAGCATACAGTATATATTGGTTTCCTTATTTGCGATTTAGTCACTGGGTAGGAGGGATATATTTCCCATAGTGCATTGCAGTATACGCACATCTGTGGGGCCCCTATATGTAGTAGGGTGGTATATTTATTTTTTCAGTAGAGGCAGTGCAGCAACATTTCTGTTTGTACTCATACAATTGTTCACCATTACACATTTGTGGTTTTGCTAGCAGCAGCCAATCTAATTAATTAGTCCTCTGCGCAGGCTACACTTATATATATTTATTCAAATATAGTGACATAAAAGAAATAGGCAAAATATTAAATCTGGGGCCCTCAAATATTGGCCTAATCTTCCATATACAGTATTACCTTACAGAACCCCAAACCCACTATGTTGCTCAGTAAACAATAATTTAAATCCAAAGTATTTAAAGCTCAAACTCCATCTAAAGATATCAGATATCTCAAAACTGCATATCAGCAGATACAAATCCATTAGAAACCACTTATCATTATGCAGTGCACTGCTTATTTTTTATACTACAACACAACTTCTAGCCTAAATCATCAAAAAGGTTTATTTATTCCTGAAGTATGGCTGTTCTTAAACAGAACATTGATTTATTATATCAGTGGCCCATGGGAGCATAGTTCATTGCCATACATCAATTCACACATATTTTTTGCTGTAGGTTGCGGACTTAGTTTCTGTAATAGTTTAGAAGCTGTAGGAACGTAGTATTTTTACAAATTCTCTTTTATATTTGTGATTCTGTAGGAGACAGCTTTAGTCAGCTTGTCTGTTGTGTCTGTTGGTGTTCTTTAAGTATGGAGTGATTCATCTCAGTCACTTGCTGTGTTGAGCTAGCAAGATGTGCTAGATGTAAAAATCTCTATGATGGATATTTTATGTCGTAGTCAATCAGCAGTCTTGGGGGCCTCCTAATGCATGCTGCGTGAGTTATTAAATACCTGAGGCACTTCCTGGCACAATGTCTTCCCTTCTGGGCTCTTGCTGTAACAACTGTCTTTGCCTTAGGTCTTTTGGGCCTAGGGAGTGGAGTGCTGCAAGGATCTCCAGTTCTGTGAAGACCCCTTGAAGATGGGATGGCTGCCATGGATGTTCTACTTAGGCCTGCAAGAAACAAATTGCAGTTGTCTCCTGCAACGTGAGTGACTGATGTGGAAAATGAACACAGAAATGTTTCTGTGCTGTCCTGCCTTGAATACTGAGGCTGAGATACCACTAGAACCTTGTTTGTCAAGAAGCCAATCTGAAGCTGAGGTGTTTGGCCAGCATAGCCTTATCAGTGGTAGACCCAGAATGTTAGAAAGATGTGTAGAAGACCAGAAACTATGTAGAATCATTAAGGTGTTCAGTGCTCCCTCCGCTTTCCTTGTTCTTCATATACTAGTGCAATAAAGCTACAAAAACTAACATGACTGGCACCCATCATTCTATACATACTCAGCAACCCATAGATCGCAATCTACCAGTAGATCGCAGCCAGGTGACTTGTAGATCGTGGTCTGGGCTTGCTGACACACCATCCCAGAGAATCAAACAGAGTCTGCTTGTAAAGTTGGAGCTGTAGTAGGGAGCAAGAGCTACATGTGCTGATGCCTCTTCTGTAGTGCCGGCTCCTGTCCCATGCGGAGTGATACCAGCTGCACTCCACCTCTTATCCTGGCTAGCAGTCTCCAGAGTGGTGCCAGCAGCAGAAAAGAAGAGATCTTCAGGTCAGTGTGAAGCAATACATTGGGCATAATAGCAGAAGGCTGCTTTCACAACGATGTGCTGCAGTTTCCCCACACTGCGGGTGCAGTGTACCTGCAGCTTTCCTGTGGGTTTGCTGCGCTTAGCCTTAGACTTATATTATATCCTGTGGGTTTGGTGCAAGTCACAGGAGTGCAGACTGAACTATAGTCCTGTGATCCATAGGGGGAGTACAGCCAAAAAAGCTTTGGCTATACTTCTCCTTTAAATGGCACCCCAACCTACTATTACAGTACCTGCATGGCAGTGAATGCCATACTTGTTTTGCACTATGTAAAAAGAAAAAAAAAGTCCTCTCCAAAAACGCACACTTGATCACTACAATTTTTCTATCTTACAAAACAAGTTCCTGCTTATCTTTTATCTTAGTTGTTACATATCGGCATGACAGCTGGAATCTGAATAGCTGCATGTAAAGAAAACACAGAGGGGCCCAGACTAAGTGCAGTATGGTACAATTCCATTTCTTCCGCTTCTTCATTGGAGGTCTGACGAAGAAGCGGGAGCTTCGAAACGTGTTACCACCCACTTTACGGAGTGACGTATCCTTGGTGTCATCTCTTCCGGTGCAAACCCATCTTGCGTTCCACGCTGGTTCCAGCAGTGTTCAGCCCCTCGTCACTGCTTCACTCCTGGACTTGGACTACAGCAGGCCACGGAACATCAGCCGGATCACCCTGGGGAACCTCCTGAGATGTTTTTAAATGTGTATTCTAGCTGCTCAATAGTGAGCTTCCAATTTGCTACATTTTAATAAATAGAATTGTCCCATACTGCACTTAGTCTGGCGCCCCTCTGTTTTCTTTACATACAGCAATCAGAGCTTCAGCTTCACTCTGGAGGCTGCCACTGGTGCCTACATAAAGTTTAGGTTATGGACATATCATGGACTTATTTGTTTAATTTATGGTTACATTCAAGTATGGTCTTTGGCAATATTTGCTTCTTTAGCGCCTATCTCCCCCCCTCCCCTCCTTTTTCTCTCAATCTGAATAGCTGCACCTAGTGAGCCATACCTTTACTTTGCTCACCACAGCTGCATACAAGAAATTCAAAGTATAAACTGGAAAAGCCTTTATAGATTTCTAGTTACTCACCATACTTCCGCCCACAGAAGCAGAAACATTGCTGTCCTTTATAGGGTATGCTGTCCCACAAAGCTGCAGAGAAAAGATGTTGGGTACCCGTGTTTGCTTTACAAGAGAGTCAAAGAAAGGTTCCAGAGTGTCATCCGGCTACAAAATCAGGAAGAAAAGAGCTTGCTAGTATAAGACAACCAGGAATACATAATAAAGCAAGGGAAGGAACACATTCTGCTAATAGTAAGCATTGCCCATATTTTGGAGAAAAAAACTAAAGCAGTCCATTGAGTTCAGACATGTCAGCATTAATGGTAACCACTATTGTTTCTTAAAGTGTTACTAAACCCACAACAGTAAAATCAGTCTGTATATGCAGTAAAACATGCCTGTTATACAGTGCTCACTGTGGAAACTAAGGGGTTTATCCTCCACATTGTGTAAAAAAGCTGTTTCATCATGTCTTCTCTGATCCTCCCCTTCTTCTTCTGTCCCCAATCCATCTACTGATCCATCTACTGAAGTACAGAGCTGTGGGAGTCACACTGCACATGCTCAGTCTAGTGTGTATGGCTAGATAAGTTTTTTTTTTTCTTTGGGAGGGTGCATGTGATCAACACAGGACCAATCAGCACTGTCCAGACAGAGGGTCAGGGGTTCTGCAGCCTGATAGGACAGTCAGAGCAGAATGAAAACTCCTTCTACAAGCTTTAACCAGTGCTCAGCTGGACACTGATAGAAGTCACAAGACTGCTATATACTGCTGACAAGAAAAGGTATTTAGCAGTTTATATTTACTAAAATAATTGTATTTCCATGTTCTGTGTACTGTGGGAGTTGCAGGCAAAAAAAAGTGAGAAATGCACAGTATTTACTGGGCTGTATGTATTAATGTCCAATTTTTGATACTTGGGCAATAGTGTCAATGTACAATATATATGTAAAAGTGCCCGTCAATTGTCAGCGCTGTATAAGTACCTGTAATAATAATTCCACCTCAGCGCTTGTTCTAGCTCTAATAAATCTGCTTCATTACTGGTGTGTCATGGATTGCTGGGTCCAGGCACAGAGCAGGCTGGAGGACTCAAACACTTGGCAGCTCCCTAGGGAGTCAGTGCTACATCACTATGCAACTGCAGGTCCAATCCCCAGATTTCTTTAAACGTAGGAAAGTACTCCCTAACCAAGGATCCCTTCAGACTCCAAGAGGCTGGATATTAGAGCAGAACTATAGGCAAAACTTTTTTTTTCATTTTGCAGAGAGTAAGGGTGGGTTATAACCCATTAGATTTTTTTGTTGTTGTCTTTCTCTCCCATTGAGGAGATTTCCATTCACTTCCTGTCCCATAGCCAAAACAGGAAGTGAGGGGAAATCCCTGCAAATTAAGGGAATTCCTTGGAGACCCCCAAGAGACCAGAACAAATGTTCCCACTGGAAGATTTCTCCTCTATTACTTTTCTGGGGACAACCCAAAATTTGGGATTTTCTTTTACTTTCAATGATAATGTTAAACAGGACAAACTAAGAGGGTGAATGTCTTTACAGTGGAGCTCCACCCAAAAGGGGAAGTTCCACTTTAAGCCTGTGTCCCCCGCTCCCCAAATTTGACAGGTACCCACTCCCACTTCCGCTGCGATCTCCTAGGCGATCAGAAGCGGACGTTGTCCTCCCCCCTCCCTTGCCATAGTCTTCTGGAACACATGACAGGTCCCAGAAGACTACAGGGCCATTCACAAAGTGCAGCGCTTCTCGCGCATGCGCAGCGGGCACCCCGCAAGCTATCACAGCCGGGTGCCCACACTGAAGATGCCGGCGCCAGGGAGCAAAGACGGCCGGTGAAACCAGCGGTGGTGAAGACACCGCTGGACCAAGGGAAAGGTAAGTGGCTGTATTTTAAAAATCAGCAGCTACAGTTTTTGTAGCTGCTGACTTTTATTTATTTATTTATGTGGAACTCCGCTTTAACAGGGGGCACAGACAGCAATGAAAACCGACAGGGGTCCTAATTCCTCTCCACTCTATCCAAAACTAAAAAAAAGGTTTTGCCTTCAGTTATACTTTAGGATTGGGAATCCTGTGCTTCCTGTTTTTATACTGGCGAGGAATTTTGGGAACAATAAAAGCCAGTGGTGTGCCATAGAAGATCATATGGCCCTGATTTTTTTCTTTAGTTAATTTAAGAATGATAATATTTTTTACAAGCAGCGGACTAAAACCGAATCTGTAGGTCCAAAGTATCTTTTTACTACTTTTACCAGGAACCTTTTGTGAGGGAAAGGTCCCAACCTGTTTTTTCCTCCCCACGGGTGGAAGGTAGGTTTCAAATAACTCCCCATGCATGAAACCAAACCTTGGGGTGGGGATGTGGTTCCTGCAAGAATTGGCTTTGAGTAGGGTGCCTATTTTTTTGCAGGCTTCTCTCAATGTGTCGGCACGTCAGGGACTGAAAAGAACATGCACACAAAATGTTAATAGTTTAAAGGGGACTTCTAACACTTGAAGGGGGGGGGGGGGGGTCTTCAAAGTGCAGGTGCACTTTAAATGGGTTTATGCTGCTATTGAGATGATAAGAAAAAAAGTAAAACTGCTTAATTAGTGTTGTGAAAAAAACAAAACATTTCTTCAAACTTTCAATATATTAAGTGCCCACATTTTACAATCACTCCAGGTTCCCGTTGTGACAGCAGTATACAGTACATTTACTCACCCTTGCAATTTCAGCATATGCAAGTCCAAGAATTCCTTCCCAGTTGGAACCATTGATAAAAAATTTGTCAGAGTCAGTGATGGCTGCAATATTTGCTACAACAGTAACATTGGGCCCATGTGGAATTGTAACCAAGTCCGTTCCCAATTCCCCTTCCCATTTTCCCTGAGTGTATGGAACATACACTCCTCTTCTGACATCTCTGTATGTTCTGGACCTATAGAAACACAATGACAGAAGAAGAGTGGAGAATCAGTATAAAGGAGAAGATAACAAAGATACAGGATTCTGAAAAGTTCAGTATAGCTCTGGAATGTAGAGGCTTTATGCAGACATATATACAATGTACTGTCAGGCTCCTCCAGTGACTTTAAATATTCCACACCGCAACATGGCCACACAGGGGCTGCATACTTGGCTTTAGAGTGATTGAAAACCTCTAAAAATTAACAAAGCATATCCTTAAAGCAATCACAACCCCCTAATGAAGCCACGTGACCTGTGGCGTAACACGTAGGGGAGGGGCTATGACATCACTCTACAACCGTGGACCGCGAGTATACACTGTGTGCGGCGCACACAGCTAAAGATTGTCATTTTAACAAAGCGGTTTTATATTATATGAAATGTGAGTGCAATATTTGGGCACATAATAAAACTTCAGTCCTAAAGGATAAGGCACTATGTCCCTATTTCTTTCTTATAATATGTTACTGAGGAACATCGAAGGAGGATACAAACAGCAGCAGAAGGAGTGAGAGATCCCTGCAGGGAAATTGGCATATGAAGAGAGGAGCATTGGGAAGCACTTAAGGGATACCCACCACCCATTATATGGTGCAACATATTATACAGAGTTCCATTTATGAACAAAAAGCGGAATAAGCCTTTAATAGGCTTAAAAGGAGGTGAGCGTATAGCCTAATCACATTAAGGAGTCACTGGAAATCACAATTATCATTTTTGGATCACTTTTTGTCAATATTGGGATTGTCACTATTTTTCTCATCACTAGAGACTTTTATTGTTTATTAACTCGCTTTATATTTTTGGATCACAAACGTTTTTTTTGGGACTGTCATTATTTATTTTGTCACCAGAGACTATTTAGTTTTTATTAATTTGGCTTTGAGTAATTTATTCAGGTGGCACATGTTGTTTTTCACATTTATTATGTTTCAATTGGCAGTATTTAAAATAGAGTGTAAATTGATACACATTATTAACACTAATTAGGAGCGCGACATTTATTTATTTTTTATATCCTTCTATACTGTGCATTTGTCTCAGTCCAAAACACTTAGTGTGATTTTTGTCTGCTGTGTACTTCTGCATGAGTCACTTCTGACAGGTTATGCTGACTTCAAGGGATCCAGGGGGACAGGGAGGGAGCTTCAGTACACAGCTTGCGATTGACAGCCTCAGCTGTGCATGTTTCCCTATGAGACTGTGTAGAGGGGGTTATGATATGTCCCTCCACTTAGGTCTCAGATTACTCTGTTATGCAGTATGATCATATCCTTGCCCCCTGCCTTCTGATGATCTGAAATGCTGTGTAAACTGTTTACTTTTGTGACAGACTCAACTGGGACTGGGGCTTTCCGAGAGGACTGGGGCTAGCCTAGTAGAAAAGAAGGGGAATTTTGTCTGCTTTTCCCAGTCAGAGCATGGAAAAGTGTTCACTTCAGCGTCTGATCCCATGGAGAGCACAGATCATTCTCTAATGATGGACAACAACGTGATGAATGCTGAGAGCTAAGCTTGGATTAATTCTCTGAATAAAGACAAAGCTTCCCTCTGGAGTGGATGGAAAGGTGTAATATTAGTCTTGTACAGGTTAATGGCCAGAGTAAAAAAATAAGGTGGCCCTCATGCAGATTGGGTTGGAGAAGCTTCTCCACTTGGGACAGAAATATTTATCAACAATCTCCCTCAATAAATCTGTGAAGATAAATGGATTCCACTTTTTCAGACTGCTGGAACATTGTATGCGTTTTGCCTTATGATGACTTTTCTAGTGGTCAGATTACACAAGTGAAAGCCAAACACCTGAAAGACAGCATGTGTACTTCGTGTAACCAGGGCTGTGGTTGCTGGACTGACTGACTGGGTGGGCTCCCTGACTGGTCTAGATGCCTAGCTGTTGATTTGCGTACTGTTAATTAGATCACTGTTTAATTAGGTTATTGTTAGCTGCTAGTTGTTCATTAGATATACTGTTAGATATACTGATGATATTACTGTTTAAAGTTTGAATTGTTTAGGATCATGTAATCCTATCTGATTTTATGTGGTATGATTTCTGTGTGAATTTTCAATAAAGGGGTTCCTTTTTGCACCTAGGTTAGTGTCGTCTAGTTCTTGGGTGCAATTCTCAGGGACAATACCTTGTTCCTTTGTTCCAGCCGTGAGGAAAGATCTCTCTGGCGGAGGCACTCAGTTGCGGTGCCAGGCAGTCCATCACAACTTTGAACGGTTACAGGTAAGAGATGGTTACAGGTAAGAGATGGTTACAGATAAACAGCTACAACTTATACATGAGGATTTGTTTCACTTCTGTGTATCACCTGAAGCTAGTTACTTCAGTGGTTATATCTACAGTTGCAAGAAAAAGTATGTGAACCCCTTGGGATTACGTGGAGTTTTGCATGAATTGGGCATAAAATGTGCTCTGAACGTCATCTAAGTCACAACAATAGAAGAACACAGTCTGCTGAACATAATACTACACAAACATTAGATGTTGCCATGGTTTAATTGCACATAACATGTAAACATTCACAGTGCAGAGAGGAAAAAGTATGTGAGGCCCTAGCTTAATGACTTCTCCCAGAGCTAATTGGAGCCAGGAGTGAGCCAACCTTGACTAAAAATAGTGTGATGATATTGGATGTGTTGCTGACAGCTGTCCTGCCCTTAAAAAACACACACCTGTTTTGGGTTTACTGGTTTCAAGAAGCACTGTCTGATGTGAACCATGCCTCACAGAAAAGAGCTCTCAGAAGACCTATGATCAAGAATTGTTGACTTGCAAGAAGCTGGAAAGGGTTACAAAAGTATCTCCAAAAGCCTTGATGTTCATGTGTCCACGGTAAGACAGACTGTCTACAAATGGAGAAAGTTTAGCACTGTTGCTACTCTCCCTAGGCGTGGTCGTCCTGTAAAAATGACTGCAAGAGCACAGTGCAGAATGCTGCATGAGGTAAAGAAGAATCCCAGAGTGTCAGCTAAAGACCTACAGAAATCTCTGGCACATGCTAACATTTTTGTTGACACATCTACAATAAGGAAAACACTAAACAAGAATGGAGTACATGGGAGGACACCACGGAGGAAGCCATTGCTGTCCAAAAGAATATTGCAGCACGTTTGAAGTTTGCAAAAGAGCACCTGGATGTTTCACAGCACTACTGGCAAAATATACTGTGGACAGATGAAACCAAGATTGAGTTGTTTGGGAAGAACACACAACACTATGTGTGAAGAAAAAAAGGCACAGCACACCAACATCAAAACCTCATCCCCACTGTAAAACACGGTGGAGGGAGCATCATGGTTTGGGGCTGCTTTGCTGCCTCAGGGCCTGGACGAATTGTTGTCATTGATGGGAAAATGAATTCCAGAGTTTATCAAGACATTTTGCAGGAAAACGTACGACCATCTGTCCGCCAACTGAAGCTCTGCAGAGGATGGGTGATGCAACAGGACAATGACCCAAAGCATACAAGTAATTCAACAAAACAATGGCTGCAGCAGCACAGAATACGCCTTCTGGAGTGGCCCAGTCAGAGTCCTGACCGCAACCCGATTGAAATGCTGTGGCATGACCTTAAGAGAGCGATTCACACCAGACATCCCAAGAATATTGCTACACTGAAACAGTTTTGTGAAGAGGAGTGGTCCAAAATTACTCCAGATCGTTGTGCAGGTCTGATCTGCAACTACAGGAAACGTTTGGTTGAGGTTATTGCTGCCAAAGGAGGGTCAACCAGTTATTAAGTCCAAAGGTTCACATACTTTTTCCTCCCTGCACTGTGAATGTTTACATGTTATCTGCAATTAAACCATGGCAACATCTAATGTTTGTGTAGTATTATGTTCAGCAGACTGTGTTCTTCTATTGTTGTGACTTAGATGACGTTCAGAGCACATTTTATGCCCAATTCATGCAAAACTCCACGTAATCCCAAGGGGTTCACATACTTTTTCTTGCAACTGTAAGTGCTAAATCTAAGTGTTTACAACTACTTTAGTCAGCAGAGCATACAGTAAACCTGCATTTTGCCTATGCATGACAAAGCAACAGGGTTGCTTTTCTGCTCCTCTATCAAGCAGCACGTACTTACCTTTCCTTTGCTCATTTACTGTTCCATTTAACTGAGAAAAGCAGAGAAAGGAAGTCTCATGTAACAGCTGGTTCACACCAGAACACAGTGTAAGAAAGGTGTGTTCTGTGTGCATTTCCCAAACCTCATTCAAAATGCACTTCCTTTGTGGTCTGCTGTGGGTGCCAGTACTTTGCTTATGGCAATCCAAATGCAGATCGCTAGTGCAGTGCGTTTGCGGGCATCAGACTGCATAGTTCTGCAATTTGATGTGATGTGTTTTTTTTTCACAAGTATTGCATGCACCACTTTTTGTGAAATTCGCTGCAGTTTTCAGCCCATTCAAATATATAAGCTGAAAATCGCACTGCGCAGGAATCGCATAGGAACGCGTATTGCATTCCTAGGGAGATTCTGATGTGAACTGGCCTTAAGAGTTAAGAAGGTGGAACCTACTCAGGGCCGAGGATTGTCTCTGCATAACCATTTAACAGAGCCGGTCTGCAAGGGTCAATCACTGGTTTGCTTTAAGTCCTCATGCACACTGGACATTTTTACAGCAGCTGTTTTTGGCTTTTGATGTTTTTTCTACAGCCAGTAAACTCCCCAGCATGTTATCCTGTGTGTCCATGCACACATAGACTGTAATCAACGTTTTTTGGCAGGGGTGTTTTTTGGCTGGAAAAAAACCAGGACTAGTGGGTTTCCAGAGGAGTTTTTTTAGCTGTACAAATGCTCTAATGCGGTAAAACGCAGCAAACCGTCATTTTTGGACTTTTTTTGACCAAAAAATATTAATTTTTTTTTTTGTAAAAAAAAAAAAAAAAACACTAAAAACTGCAAACATGGTAAAGTGCAATAAAACACCACAAACCCGCGTTGTTGGACTTTT